GGATTCTTTGTTTACGAGTCGCGGCAGAGACATCTGTCTGGTCAATGTTGCGACACAGGGGGCGCCAAAACGGATACGAGGTGCGAAAACAATAAATTTGAAAATAGATATTCACAAAGAAGCAAGAAGATTCTCATTCTTTTATATTTCTTTCGTATTTTTGCGTTACCATTTTGCCACGGCCAGACGTAATTGTTTACGCTGGATATAAAGCAGTCAGCCAATCGGTGCAAGGGAGGAAAAAAGGCGCGAAAACTTAAAAATTAATCAACAACGAAAAAGCATCGCCCAAGAACTTTCAAAATAAATAAAATTTTGTACTTTGTCACGTCAACGTGTTCGCTTCATCGATGTATTGATCGACAGACGTCGAAAAAAAGCGACGAATGTATAAGTGTCACTAAACTTGTAGATAAGTTATCGTCTAAAGACGCAATTACGATTGGACTGTGATTTTGAGGTTATAAACACAACTTTCAACGATACAAATGTCTCGTGCTTAAATTGTATGACAAGAATTGTCGACTTAGAGATCTGAAAGTTTTTCACTGAAATACAATCTCAAAGTAAGTAAGAGGTAGAAGTTTCGAGATATTTAAAACGACCAATTACTTTAATATGTTCCAGACAATAATGCTAGTTGTTAAGTGAACGAGTAAAAGACATCGGTTCTCCAAGAAAAAGTTTACTGGCTGTACTCTACTGTAACACGGAAAGGGCTCATATTCTTTGAATATTAACGAAGTTTACCAAAGCAAGAAACAATGACCAAAGAATCTGCAAACGTCAATATTAATACAAAAACATAGCCAAACATAAAATGAAACTAGAACGAGGACAAAAGGCGTTCGTATCACAGTTCGCGTAGCACGGGCCCACGAAAAAATATCGTCCGAGCAGTATCGTAACGCAGAAAGAGAATCAGAGAAAACGAAAAGAGAAAGAAGTATCAAAGGAAAAAAAATAGAGGAGCAAGAAAAACAATAAATTTAAGATTATTGAAAAAGAATTTACAAGGAGAGGCAATACAATGGATACCTACAATGATCATGGATTCAGGATAAATTAAAGGTAAAACTTGGAGGTTAATTTATTGAAAAATAAATATATAAAGCCTTTACCGTATCACCATCGTGGGTTCCGCGTTAGAGCCAATTTTGCTGCCACGCTCGGCACACGCAACGGGGGCCACTTTGAAACGTTCACGAAAACTCGGTCTTCACTTTCGATACGCGATTACGCCCCGTCCGGGTACAATTATGCCGTTTATATAGATGCTTCAGAAACGTAGATTCACCCGGAACTTCTCCAAGGCGTTCGAGGATACAGAGCTGTCCATGACTTGCACGGTACTCGTTAACGCGGTAGACGGCGGAGGAAGCCAGACAGTAATAACAATCAGGTAGAGAAGTAGGTACTCCAAAATTTGTTAGGGTTCGTTAGCAGCAGCGTGAACGCTGTTTTTCGATGCTACACATCGCACTGGACACTGGTAACGTCGACGGACGCCGACGGGACGCCGCTATCCGCCACCGCGAGGACGACGCTTTGTTTTCGTTCAACGAATAAATTACTTGCTTTTACGCGGCACTCGCGGAACCTCCAGACGACGCACGTATTTCTGGGAGACTGAATAGTGGAGTCGGAACGCTTTGGGCTCCCTCTGTTTTTCCCGACCGCTGCGCCATCTTACCGACTGACTCTGTACTAATATTAATATGCGTGCGCAGACGCGTTCAGCTGTCAACAAAACAAAATTTGAAATTGTTTTTCAACGACTATTCTTTGCTTCTGTCTCATACATTTGCAGCGGAACATAATTCATTGTCGTGCATTGCTTATCCCTTCAGCGATTCATTTATCTTCGACCAATTTCTATGAGATATATTTCAAGATAACGGAGCAATTACGGAGTGCTGAAATACTGGTATCACATTTATATTATTAACTTATCAATTGAACTTTGGTCTTATTTGAATTTCAAACATTCTATTCTTAATTATGCAACTGTGTTTGGAATGTGAGTTATAATTGCGTTATTAAGTATTTTTCATTAGACACGCTGTCTGAGACGGAATCAAATATATATATATAATTCAAGTAGTGTTTATGTGAATGTTTCAAGGAACGGTATATGTCTCTATGTGTTTGCATTGAAAAATGCAAAATATTTGTCTTCCTTTTTTTTTTGTTCGTCTTATCTAAAAACAAATATAGTTCCTGACACACGGCGCCATCGTGCGAGGAATTTTGGAACTACATCGTATTATCGCTCACGCTTATTTTGACTAACGGCAACAATAGAACGATACTCGAATCCTGTTAATTCTTTAAGTTATTGTCACGTTATGTTGATTAATTAAATTTTACGCTGATCGATAATAATTTAACGAAAATTAGAGAGAAGCATGAAACATTGATTACTTCTGCGATTACGAGTACGACGTCGTTTAAACTGATTGCACCAGGTTGTGAAAAATGTCATGTGCATTCAGTTAATTTCTGTCTTAATAAACGTTAGTCATTCGCCAGCATAAAATATGAGTCAGGGAAACGATGACAGATTTAAAATAAAACGAATCAGTATGAGTTGTTAGAAAAGAATTCTACTTTACTGTGTCCTATGCTAATAGATTATCATCATAGATAGAAACCACTGTAGTTTCTATAGAAACGTTATAAAATACAAAACGCTTACAGTAAATGCGTACCTTGCTGATCGATCAGTTATCACGATTTCATTTCCGAAGCGCAGCGCCAGCGAAACATTCACTCGTTTTCCAAAATAATGATTTTCGAAATTTCTCATGGTAGGCGCGGTAGACATTGAATCAATTAATTAAAACGTCACACTCTTATTAACCCTGATTGCGCAAAAGCAATTTACAAAAGAATCACAGAAAGAATGGGACTAGACGGATCAATCGTTAAAGTAAGGAAATAATTGAACCTCAAACAAGGAACACGGAATAGGATAATATTACCCGATTAGAGTAAAAAGATAAATAAATTATTGGAAAGTAAAGAAATAAATTATAGAAAAAAAAAAAAAAACGTAATTCTCACGAAATTCTTCGACAGACTTTCTATTCACACTTCGATCTATATATATTGAGCGTTACAAATAAAATACACTTTTCTTAAATAAGTATAAATAAACGATTTTACTTTTTTTTTTATAATATTTCAATTACATATATTTACACCTCTCGACGCGCAATTCACTTGTTTATCATTTATTCCTCGATGCTCCTCTCAACTCAATTGTTATCGACCATAAACGTAAGAACATTGCGCGACACTGCTGGTATTATTTTCCAAAAATTCAAGCTGCTGTCAACCGTACTAATGACGTTTCGCGGCCTGTTCCCAAGAACGAGTCATTGCCCGCAGCACCCAGCAGGAACCTGCCAGGAGGATCCAATGAATGTTCGCCAATGCTTGAGGATACGACGTGTTGGGACTTGCAGAAAATATTTTTCAGCGCGCTGACTCAGGGGAAAGTTCTCAGAGTCGTATAGATAACGTACCAAGTGGATTCTCCTACTTGCCAGGTAATCAATGCGACATTCTCTTATTTTGCCGCATTGCAACAATCTGCACGTTAGAGTACCTGCTTCAGATACATAAGGATCTTGTACCATACGAGTCTTAGGATTAATGATGTTTTGTTGTCTGCAGTCGGTAAGGCAGAAATCTATTCCTTATCAGCTTTGATTTCGAACAAACCAACAGACATGCCCGTGTATTCTGTGCATCGCGATTACTGACATGTAGAATATATACTCTTCACAGAAAATAACTACCAGGAAGTACTAGAATTCTCACCACAAACCGAGCATTTCTTTTAAATTCATGCACTATCGCAAAGACTACACTATTATGAGTGCACTAGATGATTAGCACTGGTATGAACGCCATTGCGGATTAGTAGTACGGTAACTATTATGAATAGTACCTATATCCATTCTATATTGGTTTAATTTGACGCTTAGCGTGGCTCAGACCAAGCGAAACATACTATTGAAAATTGTTAATTAACATTTGCTTACAATATATATTGTGGATACATTTTATTTTTCCTAGTGCTTCGTTCCGGTAATGTCACTACTGATTTTAACAATGTACACACATAAGCCATGTCGCTGTATTCCAGTAATTTGATTACTGGTTTCTGTAATGTATACTACAAAGTACTACTAAATTACAATAGCGGTACTACTGATTCCAAGTGCTACTAATTTATGGTACTGACACTAGTGAGCACTATTAAATTCGAGCAATTAGTTTCCGTAGAGGTAGCAGTTAACTGGGTAAAAAAGAGACAGCTCGTAGAATATCGGCGACATCTAGACTCGCGTGACGTCAGATGACATAAGATGTCCAGTCTACTTTATCTCTTCAGTAAACGATACTATTATTTTCTTGGTACTCACTCTCTACGTTGCGCTGCGCTGTTCGTTGGTCGATGGTTCTCAAGTCATTGTTAAGCAGTGCTGCATAGCAGGCAAGATGGGCCTGATGAGATATTTGTGGATGTCCAGGCCACCTTTGTATTCTGTCTGAAACAAATTACGTGAAACGTCAACCTCCGACAGAACTTCTATGACAGTTCCAGCATATCTCCTGTGTCTACTGTATGTTACTTCGCTAGCTGTCGACCACAAATTCCCGCAAGGCTAGGTCCTCCTCGCTAGTATCTCCTCGGTGACTATGGTTACCATGAAATCTTTATAGGAATTGACCAAATAAGGTTTGTATCATGAAATTTGCAAGGCAGACCTCCCAACGGCCGAATACGTCCCAGCTACTGGACGTAGCGTGTGTGAAAAATGGAAATACGATTTCATATGGACCGGGACCGTAACGTTAAGTGTCTGGCTACTGGTACGTTTACCTTAGTTGTATCTGAATTGAGTTTGTTGAGTTCGTTTAATTATAATAATGAATTGACGAAAGAGAACACAGCGATGGAAGGAAAATATGGAAAATGGTCTGTATTACGTTTAACGTCTATCATATATTTATTATATTGTACACGATGCATTATAGATTTAGATCTTTTTCTACGTGAAATTATCTTGGCGTAGTTTTGCTTTATATACAAGAAATATAATAATTTACGTTTACAAAACATCTTCTAAAATTGTTTTATGTCTGTTCTTACATCACTTAACTGCTCGTCGTTTGCTGCATTACGGTAGCGCGTGACTAATATTATTATAATACAGATACTGTAATAGTTAAGTACGGTTATCTTTCGTATCTTTTTATTACGAGTTATATTATTTGGTTATTCGCTATTATACATTATTGTATGCATAGTTTAAACGTCTGGTCCCCAACAAAAGTATGTTGGAATAATAATTATTCCGTATATAGAAACTCTAAAGTCGTCGATTGTACTAGAAACATTATGGATGAAAATTTCATTGTCTTTCAAATTCAAATATATCAATTTACATTGATGTTTCACATTTTATTTTATAAACTAATATACGTTTCATCAATTTTAACGAATATATATATATATATAACAATGTTCACGAATCACGTACTTTCTGATACAAAAACATGACGATATTAAAATAATAATTTCGGAATGATATCGAATAACAAAAATTGGCTACTATGGTCATTATTGTAATGATTATTAGTTTTTCTTTATCATTAATCACAGTAAATGCAAACTGGCATCTAAGAACGTGGTACGTGTCTATTGCTACTCTAGGACATGGAGAATGTTGAAATACAAACTTGATATTTTAATACATTAGAAATTTGCAATTTCTAAAGAACTTATTTTTGTACCATGGACCGCAGACATCGAATTTTCGTAATTATATAAATTTTATTATCGTTAAGACATTGCGTACGCAATTACTAAGTTCCTCGCAATTGATTCGATCTATCAGAGAGATATGTGCTTCATCGTTATCAAAGGTTTCATAAGTTACCAGAATTTCGTGCATTACCAATAATTCAGGAAACATCAATACGTCTGCAATGTATCATAGAGATCGAATAATTTGTTTTACAAGTTTTTAAAAACAATAAAAATTACATTACGATTTTAATTTTTTTTTTAATTCCTGACAAGGCTAAAGTCTTTTCCTTCATCATTACCCTTTACACTAATATTAATCTACGTTAAAATACGCGCATGTAACTTAACTGTACAATAGCATTGTGATAAATGACTAGATTAAAATTTTTCAAGATTCACCTCATTTATATTCCTCGGGTTATTAACTAATTTTTGAAAATCCAAATTTTTTTCATCAATCTAGAATTCGTCTCCTCTCATTGAAACACTAACCTATGAACGATCAAAGAGGAACGTTATTATTACACGAATAAGTATATACACGCATTGATAAGTAATGCAGGTAATGCAGATAATAAATAATACAAAAAAAAAAAACAAATAGCATTTGTATATGTTTTGTAACGTATTTTCTTAACTGGACACCGATAACGAAAATCCGAAAACTAACCTACGTCACCTTCGGCCGTTCACCCTTCGTCCGCATGCAGGGCGGGCAGAACACACGGCATACACTTTGGCGCAGGCCAATTCCTTTTTCACCGGGAACTGACGAGCCGATATGACCTGGGAGTTGAGATGGAGCAACCTCAACTCCATAAAAACGTGACTATCGGCAGAAACGACAGCTCAACGAAGATCCCGTCGATTTTTAGGAATGCGTAAAATCAGCAATGAAAATGCATTGAGGTAGAGAAGGTCGGAGTAAGCGTCAGGTAAAAAGTGCCGAAACACAGAGAGCAATTGATCGAGAACGTAACAGACCGATCCGGAGCTCTAAAATCGAAATTCCTCCACACCAATTAATAAATCGAGACTCCTCACCGTAGCTGGCTCAGCTGATCCGTGAAGGCCTAGAACTGCATCCAGAGGGCACTCGGATCGGCACTGAACAATAGCACAACACTGCACCATCGAAACTGACGCAGGAAATCCGTAGGATTTTCGTAATATTGCGAGAGCAACGCGATAACTGCACAAAGAAGAACTTTCTACGCCGTACAGGAAACAGCTAGAAAAACTATCAACAAGCAGCCCGAAAGCACGAGGCACCCCGATCGGTGTCCCAAGACAGACTGACTCTGACAACCGTCAAATTCGTGAACTAATAATTCCGATTGGTCGAGATCCTTATAGCCGATAACTCTTATTTTTTCCCCTCGAGTCGTCCCTTTAAAGAAAATCGAGAGCGAATCGGTAAGTAACTCCTGGAGATCCTCCACGGCCGCTTCCCCAGGTCATCGGGCGATAGCTGGGCATCCTGAACCCGGGTCAGGGAGTTCTTTCCCTGCCCTTAAACGTATCAAAACTGTATCTCCATCCGCTCTATAGCCTTTTGTCTCTCTTCAGCGGAGCGTCGGTATGTCACCCGGAGCTCTGTCGGTATGTGGAGACGTCCCCGTCGGTTCCTTTTCTCTGCCGGGCAACCCGGTACGTCCGGACTATCTCTCCACGGCAGATTCAAGCACCTCGACGGTAAAAATTCTTTCGAGAGCATTGACGTAAATGTACTAGCAAATCCGAGAGCGTAGCTTCCGATCAGGATGGCGACTCGAAGGGAACCAGAAAGCCTGAACGTTATTAAATTGGTAGGTGGAGTCGCCCTTGTGACCTGAGTCGAAAAATCACGTTACAGTATATATCCTAAATTACAGTATCGTTGCGATCGACCGAACGCTTAGTTTAACTTTATTACCTTCTTCTCCTTTCCACCAGTTTCATAAATACAAAAGCATCTATTCGAACAATCTACTTCCCAGCCACTTTTCCCTTTTCCATAATACCACTCCAAGCTCTTCCGCACCTCGAATTACAAGCATAATGTATTTTTCTTGTCTATTACCAAAGTCAACTTCTTCGATAAGAACTCCAATAATTAATTCTTCCGCCGACACTTGACTGGTAGCTACAGGCAATTCACCCGAGTGCACTCAGAATTCTAATAACCACAATCGTTCTCTCATAAAACCAATTAACTCCACCATTGTCATTTATGTCACCGAGGCAACGTTCTCTTAATCAATTAATAAAGCCAGTACTTAATAAAACGCTTATACCACGACCAGACAAAAATTCTCTAATCTACCCATTAATGTAAATTTCAAATTCTTAAAAGTTTCAGGCAAACCCTCACTACTACGTCCCAGGCTCATTAATTCTAAATCCATATACTTTGTATTTACCAAAAAAACATTTAAATCCTACTTCACCCCCTTTATCCATCCTGCGCACAATCTTACTGACAATCAATCCTCTAGTAAACCGTCTTGCATTCAATTTGACATACCCCTATACAATTAACCCCACGACCCCTCAAACGTTCGACCTTCCAGGTACCTCAGTTAGCCGTACTACAATATTTCGTTCTACCCGCGGAATTCTCCCTGGACAAAGGAACAGCACCGTTGGGTCTAATATTTACAAGATGAAGTTCCTGAACGGCACCGAGAGAGTTCATCCTAGCCACGTTATTATTGTGCGTGGAAACGTCAACACTGGTAACCGTAGTCAACACGGATCCTCTGTGATTATTCGGCGTGTTACGTTTTATTTGATTGGTAACGCGAATACCTGCGGCCGTTGGGATTCCGCCGATGGCTCCTTTGTACTTGGCAGCGCGATCTACGCACATACCGTAACGCGAGAGCAGAATGAACATGTCCCTTCTATACTGATGTGTTAACAAAGCATATAAATACGGATTGGCGCAGCTGTTAAGCGGATAAAAGAAAACCAATAAGATTTTCGTTTGCGTCACGTCGATCAGCGGATAACCTGAGAGCGCAGTTAAACCGAAAAAGGCTATTGGCGCCCAGCATGCAAAATCCGTAAAGACTAGGAGCGCCATCCTCTTGGCGACTGTCATATCCGAACGTGTCATCGGCATCACGACTTCCTGGCCTCCTCGAATCGAGCAGTACATCCTTCCGTAACAGGCGACTATCACCCAAAAGGCCAGACCGTTGAATACCAGTAATGTTATCAAGTAGAGAAGATCCGTCGTGTCTCGATTCTCCAACGGCAGGCAGATGCTGCAAAGTACATAAAAGTCATTTTAATTGACGCCACGCCGAATAACGTTGAATCAGTCAAACTTTCATGCAGACTTTATAAAGGGTAATCAAATAACTCATTCGTCGAGTAACCATTCGAGCTCGATCGGTAATCCTATTTTTAATGTTACTCTCGTGGAATATCGAAGAAAGTTTTTAACCTTGTCTTTGCGTAACCGGATATACCAATTAGCGGTAAGGCTGCCATTGCGCTTGCGTAGATCCAGCCGACCGCCATTATTCTTGCGGCTGTTTTTAACTTTAGCCGACGGTTCAGGTGAATGGCATACGTTATCGTGTACCATCTTTCGCTGGTTATCACTGTCAGTGTAAAGATACTGAGTTCCGAGGAGAAGACAGTCAGGTATCCTGCGACCTGACAGCCAAGACCTGTCAGGAATTGAGAAAAAATTATTCCTTGTCGATAATTCTTATTAAATCTGGATATCGTAGAGAACTTTAATAGCATTACCACTTTGCCAATCAATAGCATAATTGAAATATGCGCCGATACTCCGTGCATCCGTACTGGCAATTAATATCAAGTAGACGCCCATGCACAAGTCGGCCAATGCCAAGTTGCACATCAGAAACTTCGGTACGGTCATGCGAAATCTTGAAGAGACGAGGACGATAAGAACAGCCAAATTTCCTACGATTGCCAGTACGGCGACTAGCCAGACCTGAAATAAATCAAAGTATCCATTAGTCACTGTTGATTAATTAAAATCAATCAGCCAACACATGAAATTCCATGCTTGGACGATCTTGATCAGTTAACAATTAAGTAACGACAAGCCGGAAGACACGAGAAATGCATAAAGTCGTATGAAAAATCTCATTAACAATTTCCTGAGAGGATCGACAAGTGTCTTTGAATGTATAATTAAGATGTTCGACCTTGACAAACGATCGAATTGATAATCGATAATTCTTTATTAAACAGCGAGTAGCCGGCTGTACGAATTTCAAGATTTGATTGTAATAAGATGACTATTAAAAATGCATTCGGTTCAGCGAATCAAAGAGATATTCAGCGATCGACGAAAATCAATGAGGCTCTAATCTCCGATCGTTGATTAAATGTTAATTCTCTGTTGACTGTTCAGCAATACCGCAATCCTAAGGGCCCAATTGCCCATCAAGTCCTCGCAGGGATTAAACGCGTCGGGGATTGGTTCGCAGTTGACATCCTTGTAATCCCTGGTGATGTTTCCGCACATGATGCTTATTTTGGTGTCGGTGCTTTTGACCATGTCATGAAAGTGTCCCTCCTCGTCCAAATAAGAGTTCGAGTTGTTGAACGAAAGCTGCCACCAGTCGTCGCGACGTCGACGTCGCCTCGGTGCACAGTACTTATTAATTTGCAGGATAAATTCCTGAAACAAGGAAAAGAACTTTGTACTGTTTTCTTGCTTTTTTCTAGATATATACATATATTTTGATTTACAGAAAAAAAAACCTGTCCAGATCCGACCGACGTACGTGGAACGTGTCTATCTGGCGAAACTATCAATTCACTATAAATCAATTTAATTGAACCGCCGTCGAATAAGAAACTTTCATCGTTCGTTGTTTCTGATTGAAATTTCTTTCTCCGATTTCCACAACATCTTAATTACCCGGACACCCGTGTCACGTTACTGCCAATCGATCGAATTTCACTTAAGAATTGCCTTGGGCTTTGATTTTCTATTTATAGATTCACTATTAACAGGATGCAACGTTATTGGCCAATACAATCTTGCCAATAGCGAACAGCAATGATTATTCAAGACTTACTGGACTCGTAGTACACATGAAAAAGTAGCCCAGAGAATGTCACTCTGAGACCATTTCCTGGCTTACGTTTACAAAGCTTTAAAGCAGAAATACCATAAGACAGACTTGCAAGTCAATCCGTGTAATACCGTATGCTATCTTAAGTCTAAATTATCTATTATCCTGCCCAGCCCTTATATACTAATAACGAATAACTTCGATTCCTCGAGTCTCATCTTCTTCGTTCGCAGCATCCTTTCCACTTCCGTTTCCTCACCTCGTGCTTTCTATGCTCCGCGGGATCGTGTTTCGCAGGGAACTTGAAGGCGCAGCAGTGATAAGGATAGGTTAAATGGGCCTCCTTGATGTACTCGAAATTGTAAATGGAGGGAAAGACCTTGAGTGACTTGGTGTCCTTCATGATCAGGGTATCCAAATCTTGAAGACCCTTTATCGGCAGGACTACAATAGACGTTTCTGACAGGTCCCTAAAACAAACATATCCCATAACAGACACGTGCTCAAAGAGGAAATTCAAATCGCAACCAAGATGCTTCGCTCTGATATATATTATGTACGTGTATGAAAAAATAAAAAAATTTAAAAAAAAAAAAAAATAAAGAAATTTTGTCAGGAATAAAATTATTTTTTCTATAATACTGTAAATACTAAATTCCTCTAGCACGAATTAATATCTCTTTTCTATACTGGCTATGTATACTTACAGATTTCGTAGGCTTTTGAGTCCGACGAATGCGTCGGTATGTATATTCCTCAGCGCCACGTTTCCCTTTAGGCTCCTGTAACGGATACCAATACTGAGCGGGGCATTGTATATCGGGCGTTTATGGAGCGAGATGAAAGAAATAGGGACGACAAAATATTCTCCAATAACGGGTAGGCGGCAGGTGTATAATTAATGCGTGAAACTGATGGGATATTTAATTGGAAAGACGACACGGCTAAATCAAGATCACGTGTTAATTACACAGCCGTTAACGTGAGCTTTGTGCTTTTCCGCGAGAGTCACTTTCGTCGGGTTTACAAAAGCTCGAAGAAAATAAAAGTTTCGCGTAAAAGCCCTACAAACTTTTCAAGTAATATCGAAGTGACATTATTTTTCAATGGGTTCGCTTATCAACACGAAAGTCCGATGCTCGTGTTCAAGTTGAATATTTATTTTTTTTTTTTTTTTTTTTTTCGTCGTTAAATCTACAACCGCGTTCGTTATTTTACACGGCGCTTTCGATTGGCCGAAATTTCGCGTACCTCGTAAATCTTCTTTTTTTTTTTTTCTATTTTCAACGATTTACAGTAAACCACTCGGCTACGGAGCTTTTGGTAAATGTATCTTGACGAATAGGTTAGCTGGGTAAATTTTTGCAAAAATCCCCCTCAATTTTTTTCAAACTTCAGTGATTCATATCTTTCTAGCCGGACGAAAAAAATAATTTTTTTCTTTTTAACCAACGGGTGCAGCTGATTGAGATATTTTGAAAATAAAAATTTTTTGTCAACCTTATAACGTTATTCTACCTTAACCTGAAAAGCAATAGGAAATTTTTCTTTTCTTTGCCAACTGCATTTCTCTTTGTCGCGATATCTCGAGTTACAGGAAAAATAGTCCAACAAACTGTCTCCGATCGTTTTCCGGAGCAAACAAAAAGATTCTTGTAGAGATCTCGCAGATATATAGATCACGTGTACATAGATCGTATACTCTGTCGTTACTGAAATCCTGAGCGTGCGATAACACCCGCGAGTATTATCGCAGTAATGGAAACGATAAAGAACGAATGACGAAAGGAAAGGAAGAGAAAAGGAAAAAAAGAAAATCGAAAGATAAGTAAACATTATCCGGACCGCGTTACATCATAAAACCATTAAATAAAATCCTTCGCTCATGAATAAGAATCGAGAAAATATCATTGAGAAAAAAAAATGCAAAGTATTCGAATTCGATTTGCCTGATGGGTAATAAAGAAAAAAAGACCAAAAAAAATATACAGTAAATATTTCATAGTTCCGATAGATATGAAAAAAAAAAAAAAAAAAAAAAAAAATTTTTTTTTTTTTTTTTTTTTTTGGGTAATAAAGAAAAAAAGACCAAAAAAAATATACAGTAAATATTTCATAGTTCCGATAGATATGAAAAAAAAAAAAAAAAAAAAAAAAATTTCCTTTCTTTTTTTTTCTTTTTACTCACAGCTTAGCAATTTCGGAACCGTTGAACGCCATACTGTCGACCACGGAAATTTCGTTGTAGTTGACGAGACTGGAAATAAAAAAAATAAAAGTATTTTTTTGAATTAAATATCGTGGGATCGGAACACTGCAATCGCGAACAGGATATTGGAAAAGGATCCAATGTCTTTTGCGATTTCTCTTTTTTTTTTTTTTTCCGGTTCCAAACAAATTCTAACTCTGACTGACGCTTGGCGTAATAGGATTTTTCGTATCGAATTGAATCGCCCGAAAGAGGCTGAGAAATATTTTCACATTTATTGCATTCAGATCAACTGACATATATTGCGTAATGCTAGGATATATTACTCAGAAGTAAAATGACTCGTTCGTTCGTTCGCATTACGTTATTTTTCATTTTGAAAATTCTTTCATAGAAAATATTATTCTAGGTTACTTCAAAAGACATGGTAAGGATCACGCGATGAGTCAAACGGGTTTTTAAAAAATAATGACTTTTATAAAATCTACCGACTGGTATACGCTTATATATTGCTCGTAAACCGTATTGCAAGTAAAAAAAAAAAGCAACTTCAAACACAATACGTGGAAAGTACGTTTTTACGTAATTGTGAAAAAAAAATTTTTTCCACGTGCTCAAACCCCTTTCAAAAATATATAACCACTGTGAATTTAATTGATATTCGTAATTTCGTGAACAAATAAAGTTTACTGGATAATTGTTACGAAAAATTATCTAATCAGATAGAATTGAACTTTAAACGTTGTTAGTCAATTTTACTCATCTTTGGGAATACACTCTCAATGATCATTGTATAATCAGGATAGTGAATTGAAAAGTCATCGGGAAGCCTTAAGTGATAGGAAGACTTTTAGTTTGATTGAAAAATATTGAGAAAGCCTTATACGCCAGTATCGTTCAGTGTCTTTTCTATATATAGAACGATGCGTTGATTTTAACTATCGACCATAAAATCATTAACGTTAAAAGCATTTTGAGGTATTTTATATTGGATCACTGACGTCCGGTTTCCTCTTGCGAGAAGATGACTGAAAGACAGCGATTTTTTTCAATTTTGGTGAATAAACCAGGTATCCTTAAATTCTTGCTTGAAATATACATAAAAAGACCGAATGAGAGGTATGCAATTTTTTTGAAAAGTTAAAAAAATTTTAATTTTGAATTACTTTTTTTTTTTCAAAACAAAATATTGCAATGCAAATATCACAAATTTCTGTTTCACAAAAATTCTCTTTCACAATGCATGCTGATTTCGTATCTGCCGCGGCAAATTTCATTCCTACTTGTTCATTCCGCATCCAGCTGATGCATATGATAATAGATGAGGTAAAGAAGAGAAATATTTTTCAAATACGTACAATTGTTCAGCCTTCACTTTTATTGAGGCAGTGCCGATGTTTTGTATGAGGTTGTTTTCCAGATCGCTGGAATACAAAAAAAAAGCCAAAATATTAGAAAAAAAAAAATAATAATAATAAAGCCATAATAAAAACATTTGAACTCAATAAAAAAATTTATCAACATTGACTATTCGATATCAAAGTGTCTCGTAATACTGGAAGCAAGGCCAGGTGGATTTTCTTCTATCGCCCAAGGAACGATAAGGATCCATAAGAAAATAATAAAGGTAAAAGAGAAAAAGAAACAAGAGGGACAAGAAAGCTGAAAGAAAGAAAGCACAACATCCCACGTCATTAAAGACGTACAATATTATATTATTTGCCAGACTACAATGAGACTCTGTCTATTGGGAAATGAGAATGTCGCGGCTGCACTCGGGAGGCTGTAAAATATTCAGCAGAGGTTGGATTAATTTGGCGATTAAATTTCTTCAGCGCCAGATGAAAGTTTCTTCGGTGTTCTCAAAGTCATTCAGTACCGTTATGAAAATACGAAAAATAACTGTAGAAGCATCATGAGGATTATGATCGTACGGACGATTGAGATAAAGAATAAGTTATTAATTATAAATTATGAATAAAAAGTACAGTCGTTACAATTTCCAAGGTGCTCGAGGCTACCTTGTTGTAATTAGAGGAGACATTCTTATCAGACTTTATATCTCGTGTTTTATCCACGGTTCTTCATAGTCATTACTAGGGCGAGCGACTTTTTGGATACAATTAAAATTTTACATTTTACATTAACTAAAAAACCTCATTCGGCACGTGAAAAAAAAAATGATAATCACATAGTTTTTTCAAATTTTCATTGATAAAAAATAATTTAAGTAAACAACGTTCAAACGTAACAGGCGATATTCTGCTGAAAATCAATTAAACGCTTAAACGCCGTTTGGTTAAATTTATCAAAAATAAAATGTAAAGGTTAGCTTTGACTAATCAACGTGGGTCTTTTTGAAATTTCATATCCTAAGACTGAATCATATTCCTGTACAACGATGTTATATGATCACTAAAGATACACGGTTTCAGTCTCAAAATTGCAATCGTGTAATAAAACGAAATTCGAGAGAAAAAGAATATATGCAAAATTTAAATAAAACATACATTTTCCTTATTTATTCGAGTATTTTGCATACGCGCATAAACTAAGATTTATTTTAAGGGCTGCTGCAGTCTTCCCGACATGAAGAAGGTTCTAAGCCGAGATTACAGCCCCTATAAGTCCTTGGTAATAAAAAATAATCGTATTAAAATAAAAAGGAAATTATTACATCTCAAAAGTAAGTATCATTTTGAAAAACTATAACGATATTAAAATTATCTTAACTATTTAATTTGTACAATAAACAATGGGGGTATTTCATTTGTAACGGCTCGATAAACAAAGTCAGCGCCAATAGGACTGAACGACGGCAACGACTTTTCGCGGGAAGTTCAAACTTTACAATATCTCCTTCCAAATTAAATGAAGCTGCTTTATGGCTCCGTTAACGAAGTACGGGAATCGCTCGTGCATGCATTAGAAGGGTGGCCCCGTAAAGTTAATCCGACAAACTTTAACATTACGGCGACGAATCGAAATTATAAATAAATAAATAAGTAAAAAATATAAACGCGCCTAAACGCATAAGCATCGTACCAAGAAATAAGATTTTCGCAAAAACGTAACCGTTATACACAATATACGCTCTCGTTCCCGCAAAATTCAAATATCGATCCACCGCTGCATTACGTTAGAAGCCTCGTGAGTGATATTTGAATTTTTTACAAAAAAAATGTAATTAAATTATATATCCGATAGATTGAATAAGAACAACGTTTCTCAATACGCCAAATAAAAATAACAAGGAGCGCCAATATATATTACATTTTCCTTTAAATCAATAATTCTTGACTCAATAAAACAAATTTTTTTTTTCAAGTACAATTGATATTTCATATCTCTATCCCTCTGACAGTTGCGGCGCTATATTCTGTATCGTATTGATATATTTTGGAGGGTTCGTCATTTTTTATTCGTTTCAAAGCGCAAAAACTTAAAGGTTAGACAAGACATTTTCGCAGAACGAACGGAGTCCTGGTTTCGCGACGCAGTGCCTTTCACAGGCTACGTGTACAGAGTCTGTGCATTTATGCAGTACTTGGAAATTCATTTATACGTACAGAGGGGGACAAAGATTTGAACTTTAAAAGAAATTATAGGAGTTGACCTAAATACAATTATACGTATAGTGGAACACGAGTTACAGAAAATCCACGTCTACTTAGGAATAATTATGTCGCGGAACGAGCTTGCCAACGTGACATGATAATTTTTCTGACAATGAAACCCACTGCACGTAATTAATCGTGAAACGCGTTCCTTGGCTGCTTAAAATTGTCACATGATAAAAGTGATTGTCGGGATGACGCGAGAAGGATGCAATTTCATATTCAATTATTCATAGTCGTTTAAACTTACTCTATGGAAATACATAGTCCTCGATATCGATTCACGGAGAATTTACGTCAACTTAATCTCACAATTAAAAGTGCTTTTGACAATTCCGGTTCCGTTGTTTGTTCTGAGCTGCTCTAAGTCTGTTGTACAATGTTCCAGAAAAACAAGTTTCTCGATTGAAATTTGTAGCGGTGAGGGGAAAAAAAACACTTTTATCGGACCCCCCCCCCCACTTATGGAAAATCAAACTTTTTTTGTTGTTGTTCAAGATTCTTCTAGTTGTTCTAAATATTGTTCCAGAATATTAATACTAATTAATATTAATACCGCTAAGTAAAGAATACTCGAATGGGATCAAAAAAACGTGTTATACATATAAAATCGTTTCTTCCTACTTTTATCCGACTTGCGACTACCCGATCGTTATACAATTCTAGAACAATCATCGATAGACCGAGAACAACTTGGAGCAACCTAGAAAAACCTAGAACAATCTAGAACAAGCTGGAACAACCTGGAAATCGTTCGAAATGGTCCTATATCTACTTGCTATGCATAAAACGTTTTTTTGATCCCATTCGAGTATTCTTTACTTAGCGGTATTAATATTAATTAGTATTAATATTCTGGAACAATATTTAGAACAACTAGAACAATCTGGAACAACAAAAAAAGTTTGATTTTCCATAAGTGGGGGGTTCCAATAAAAAAGTGGTTTTTCTTTCGCCTCATCGCTACAAATTTCAGTTGAGAAACTTGTTTTTCTGGAACATTATAGAACAAACTTAGAACAAGCCAGAACAACAAGTAGAACCGGAATTTTCGAATTATAGGGGGCTAATTTCCTGCACCCATCGTTGTGCCTCCTGAATCGGACACAACCATGCTTGTACTACTGACTGAGAATTTTGAAAATTACTCAAAATTCAACCGAATTGTTAGTAATAGGACGGGAACGAGAAAAGTAAGGTTGTGTTAAAATATTCAGATAAAAAAGAAAGGGGGAATATAATCCAATTTATGATTCCCTCGCGTATTTTATCTCTTGAGTCTCCGGTACGCGGTACTGCTTGCAGGAAGTAATGGTAGCAGCGTCCTTTTATTAATTGAAATCCATCGTAACAATGAGCCCTAAAAAGAAAAGTAATGTCAAAACCAAAAAAGAAAGAAACTTTCAAATAATCTTCGCAGCGATTAAAATTTAAATGAAAATGTCCTGTAACGGTTACTTCGGCTTTTTTCCTCTCCATATATCAGTATGTAAAAGGCCACTATTCCAAAGTCCCCACAGAGAGTTAACTCTGGTGTAAAAGCCGAGTTTGCACTTTCCCCTGAAAGTCAATAAACTGCGAGTAAACTCGGAAAATGTTCGCCTCTCTAATGGATGCTCATTACGATGTATTGCACTGATTATACTACAAATTATGGTATGTATATTCGAGAGTGTTATCACACCGAATAAAAGCGATTTAGTTTGAGGTTATGATTGACGTAAAATCTTCAAACTATCTATAAAAGACAAAAGAGACATATTCAATAAGTTTGAGCAATTTTCTAGGGAATGTAAACTTATGGGAATATCATAAATTTTACTATGACATGTAAGTTTTATCAATGGGTGATCAGTTTCCCTAAGTATTAATTATAAATAAAGTATATATTGATCAGCACAAAAAAGATGTTCATAGTACCACCATAGTATTCTGAAAAACCAAAGACTTCATTCCTACAAAGAATATCATATAAACTTATTTTATATAAATTTACAAAATTTCAAGGTCCTACCATTCGCAGCAGCATATGTTGAATTACTTTTTTCTATAACTTTTTATACTCACACCACATGCAATATGTTGTCTGTACGCAGACTGCCAAGATAGGGCACAGCCAGCAAACCAGTACCCATTATTCTCCTGCGAACAAAGGGAATCACAAAACAAACTTACATAGATATATTAGTGACGTTACACATTCTACTTTATTCTACTGGGATATTACGTAAGCCCAAGAGAGTGGATTTGAAATATAACTTAAGAACCAGTGGCAATATCCAACCGAAACAAGAAATTACTTTACTTTTTCTTCTTACGGTAAATCACTTCCTCCTCACCATAAAGTTACCACTCAGTTTGTTTATAACAGTCACCGTATACTCTTTAAATTCAGAGCAACAATCCTTCACTTAATGTGCCAACTGAATCTACCTATAACAATAATGACATTGTGGCTCTGATTTAGTTATTCAACGAAAATCATCTTGTCCTTATTAACCTTAATATTGAATTTACAATTCCCCTTTGATTACGCATCGCCACTACTCCTGTGACTTATATGTGGAATACCAATATTACATCTGTCTGTAATTCATCAACGTTCTGTGACAAGATCCTTCGTTCCCGAAGTTCATCGATTTCTTCAATTCTATGGAATATCTTGAAAGGTATTACTGAACGCTTCGCCTAAGGATTGCCAGTATCAATAGAAATATCGATTTTGGCCAATAGTAGTTCACTTAAAGGAGCCGTCCGCGCTCGATTCCATCCGTGTTCAAAATTAATGTAAAAATTTGAATCAAAGTACATTAACCAATTTGCATCATACGGAAGAATACAAAAAATACGCCTCCATCACCATCATTTTGTTTTTCTATTATATCTGAATGCCAACTAAGCGTATAAGTATATACGCTCCGGCAGCAAGGAAAATCGCGCTTATATAAACGCTAAATACAATTCTTTTCATCTATATCTCTATGGGACCATCTACTTATGAGATATAAAGTAAAACAGTCTCCTGAAAGTAATCCTGATGCCACAACCCAATTATACATTCCTCGCATCAACAGGATTGATTTGATTAACCCTAGTACCGCGATCGTAATGCCTTCTTTGTATTGGAGTTGGAAAATATACGCCAAACTTTGGATCTTCCTTAATCTTCGAGTAAAGAGTTGATTAACGACGTAGTCACGTCTTGTCTTAAGGGTTGGCTAGACTGTACTGTAATATTGTGCAAACATGAACGTAAGGGATCCTGCATCAATCGCGTTAAGCTCGTTAATCCTGCGACCGTGAATTGAATATCTAAGTATACAACTGTAACGCCACAGTACAGTATAGTCCTGACCTTCAATTGTCACCAACCGACACTCTGCTGGTCGCACTTGTCGACGACAGTTTTCATAAGTAATCTCAGTACCAATTGAACCGCTTTTGTTTATGCTGTTTACGCCGTGTGACGTAATAAATCTTCACTGTATTCCGTCACGTGACAGTTGACTTGTAAGTTACGACGCAATTCTCAACGTCGTGGTCAGCAAAATTAATTCATTTAGCTATGCCGTCGGCAGGCACACTTCAGCAGGGCAATATCCTGTGGTTTGTGTCCGGGCTGAAGATAACGACTTCAATTACAGTTCGAAAAAAGCACTAAAATAAAGAAAAAAAATTATACTCTGTCACACAATTATACTCTGTATTTCGTCAATCAAATAAATAACATAAACATAATAAAATAAAAATTTTCTACTTTATCATCAGTTTTCCACTCCTGCCTGGCTTTACGTTATTACGCAATACCGCGGTAGAAAAATAACCGATGAATTTCAAGGAACAGACTAATGCCATCAATCCACCTTCGACTGTCATCATTTATACAGGTTGTTTCATCAGGACCGACTAATCCACTAAAAACAATTTTCATGATCTTTCATTCCCGTTTACTTACAGTATACGCAGCTGTGGTAAGTAAACGTTAAAGACGTCGTCCTCGATGTAAGTTAGGTTAGGTGCCCTGTAGATGTATCTGGAAAAAAAAGTGGATAAAACCAATTTGAACAAAAAAAAATCTCAAAGCCTAGATAACCACAAAATTACCTTTGCAAGTTGCTTCTACGTACAAATACATTCTAACCTGAATACACGAATAATGAAAGTATTTAAATGTAAAGTGACATTGCGACGTGGCCTACCATTTTCTCCCCCGCTGACGAAAATCAAATTATCAGACCACCGCGAATCGTTCGGATCAAGCTCCTATGCCGTAATTCGATAAAAGATAATGAATCCGGCTATTGCAATTTTTTTTTATCTCAGATTTATTTTTCGAAAAATCTATCATTGCAACAAGCGCTCGCATCGGCATCCCCCGGGAGTAACGAGCGTCATTATTATCATTATTAAACCACACAAAGAGATACTTAGAAAATTGAACCGAGGGGTCGTTGCAATGTATGCAAATTATTATATAACGGGGAAAATTTTACGAGCCATTATTACGTCACTTTCCGGTTACGTAACTCCGAACAACAAATCCGCCAATAATCTTCTCGGCGCTCCTTATCACGATTACAATGAGGTAACGTAACAAAATTCGAATATGTATGACGTGTAAAAAAAAAAAACTGTTTTGCATTTCGCCTGCCACTCGTTGCTCCTTTTCTCCGGTAGAGGCAACAAAGGGTATGGAAAAAAAAGAAAAAAAAAAATCTTCATAAACTCATGTCCTACATAAGACTCATACGTATGTATGTAGAATATATTGAGTCGAGTTCCAACGAGTGGATTCGATATTGCCGTGCATAATTTTTTTTTTCGTACATTTTTTTTTTTTACTTTCGCGTAAAGTAAGCGTGCCTCTCCTTGGAGCTTGGAGATGAAGCCCATTGCTTTTTAAAGGATGAATGCAGAGATGATTGCAGCACTGACTGTACCGGACTGAAGGATGAAAGGGGGAAAAATGGATTTCTTGAATTTGCGAGCGAGGGAGATATAGTATAAGAAAAATACGAAAAAAAAAAAAAAAAACATGAGACGAAAGACGTTGCTGACGTCGATTGTTGATCAGGGGAGGTGATACTTTTTTTTACCATATAGGGACATGATTTTTTTTTTCCTTCTCCGATATAATAATATATTGCTTTTACGGAATTTATGCTTATTGGGTTATTTGCTGGGTTTTCTTTTTTTCGCAATTTCAATGGAACGCCAAACGTTAGGCACGGGACGTCTTTTGAATAGCGAAATACTGGATATGACGGAATAACGGTAATATTATGGATGCTGCGAAACTGAATTCAGGAAAACTTTTTTTGATGAGTGGCAGATTTTTTTTGAAAATTTTCTGCTCAAGACTCATGAACTTTATTCACGACGTCGACTTGAGCGCGTATTACGTCAGACGTCCGTAAGCACTGAGAAATCGCAGGGAATAAATGACAGCGTGGTTATTTTAAAAAAATCGATCACCTCAATCGATTGTTCGATCGATTCCGGATTATGTTATTTCGATTAATCATTTGACGGGAGACCTATTGGACCATAATCGATTAAGTTTTATCTTTTTTTTTTTTTCATAGCTTCTGCTATAAATTTTCTGTGACAAAGATTAAAAATTAATTACTCGTATGGTAATGTCAATGATTTATTGGTTCCTTTTTTTCTCAAAAAAAAAAAAAAAAGAAGCGTTTATCAATTCTTTGTGAATGGGACGATTTTGGTATACGCATAGAGGCATCGGATATTGATGACGCCAATATCCAATAGTTATTGATCTCTCAATGTTATGGCCAATCGAGGGACTTTTATCAAAACCGTATAGACAACTGTTCCCCATATCAAAGGTATGAAACTGTTACGCGTGGTAAACGAATATATCCAATCGACTTGATCGATCGATATATCGAAAGGAATCGATATATTCGCATCGATGACAGTTCCCATCTAGTTTTAATTTAATACGTAACATCTGGTACGTCCTAGGGCTGAAATATATTTTTAGGATTTCTTTTTATCCCTAGGTAAATCATTTTAATCGCAAGAGGGTTCAAAGGTCGACTCAATTTATATTTCGAAGCGAGGAAGAATAATCAATTGACTTAAAAAAAAAAAAAAAAAAAGAAAAGGTGACAAATCAGAAGCTATATTTTTTAGTTTTTTTTTTTTAAATCAAAGATCGATGTAAAAAATATTTTCAAAATTCTACTTGCAATTTGATTTACTTAACGGTTCATCTTTTTGATATACTTTTTTTTTGTTCGTAATAAGAGAGCAGGGCTTGCGATAAACAAGTTTGAAAAGCGATTCAACTACGAACAATGAAGATTTTACTTGTGAGAGGTCCAGGGGTTCTCATTACTTACTGAATAGTTTCAACTAATTAGTCGCGAATAGCTCGTCCGACTGTAATCAAAATTCTTTTAAAAGAAATGAATTTACCTTGTTTCTTGATTAGAGGGTCATTTTTTGGACTCGTGATTTTTTATTTCTTAATAAAATTTTTGGCCAATTTTATTAGAAGCTCGTATGGCATATATGCTTTTCATCTGTCGACGCACTGCTGATAAACGAGTTTTCAAAAAATTTTGCATGCTCCGGAAATATTATAGGATAGTCTGGGTAAAAAAAAATGCTGTGTGCCTGAGGAACTTTAATAATACTGAACTTCGTCTAAGTATCTGTTTGCAGCGTCTGCTCTGTAAGTTGAAAAATAAGTTTTAACACGTTGGCGACAGCTTGACGGACATTGCGAAAATAATGGTTGATGCACTTACACGAACTTGAGGCTTTTTTCGAAATTTATCAAATAGTTTGCTTCGTGCCAATTCTTCCATAGACATTCTACCAGTATACAATCGTGACATTAAAACAAGCGTCACAGCTTATAATACAACATACAAAAAAAAAAAGAATGCTAGCGATGTACGTGTATAAGAAAATTAAGTACAAACAAAAAAAAAAAGTCAAAACGTACTTACATCGAGCGTAATTTAATGGTATTTCGAAAAACTCCGGACTCGAGCGTACGAAGATTTGGGACATTAATCAGATTCCTGAAAGTGAGTAGAAAAATCATTAAAACCGTGCGAGCAAATATATCGAGTTTCCATTAGAAAAAAAAAAAAAAATCAAAAATCTTTAAATAATTTTTGAATTCAAATTATTCCTCTTTTTGATACTTACAAATCTCTGAGTGTCTTTGAGTACGAATTTAAACTGCCCCTTTCAATAATCTTAATACCAGCTTCGGCTATCGTTCTGAAACAAACAATCATACGAATCAATTAATAATCACGCATTAAAAAAAAAATTCAGAATCGATAAGTAAATCGAGTTGATGATCCAAACGAACAAAAAAAAGTTCACGAACCAAAAAGTTCAGTACGATTGTCATTGGCTGGCTCCAACGGAAAGTTCTATAAACAGCCAATGGTATCTACAGCCACGTTACAATTGTAGGATGCTGTTAAATAATACGGCAAGGATCAAGAACAGGACCTTAAATGTTAACAAGTACTTCCCGGTGTACCCAGAGGATTACAAATTCCGTATGATATTCCGCATAGCGAATAACAAATGAAAATTGCACGCCGTCTCAGATAACTCTTTCCCTGTGCCAGTCGACAAACTTGGAGAGAATTTATTTTAAGGGAAATTCGACACGCGGCATTTGCTCGGCAAACAAATGCCTAAAATATCATGTAAATTTCATTAACTTAGCCTGACATCCATGTACCATTTAGGTCAGGTCAGGTTAGGTTAGTCTAGGTTGGCTCTGTGTATACAATCATTGACGAGGCCTCGCTCGAAAATTTGAACATCGGATGTTGGTACAAATCTAAGATAAAGGCGGGG